AAAAAAAAAAAAAAAAAAAAACGTGTGGAGCCCCTTACACCCTTGATCTCTTTTCTCCCCCCGACAACAAAAGAAAAGGGAGGAGGGAGGAAAAAAAGGGAGGCGAGGGGGAGGGGAGTGTAGCACACTAGATGATAACGCATTACGTAAACCCGTCGCTGTCTGTCGTCTAACGATGTACCTACATGTGTGCACACAAAGCCCCGCGCCCCCGATCGAAATCGCGACGTGCTTCTTGACTACCAACACATCAGCCCCCTTCTACTTTTTGTCTCCACCCCTTGATTCTCGCCCACTCGTGTATTGCTTCCCGGTGCAATTTTTTCGAGACCAGTACCTATCCGTGGATACCAATCGCCTGATTACCCTCGTATATACACCTCGGAGTGGACCAGGACGCGCGTACAAGGGCGATGGAAGAGTGAAGGGAGGTACCAACTTTACTTCCACCACCGGGCGAGCTTACGTAATCGCGCATCGATCGAGCACTTTGACGCTCTCGCCACCCCCCGCTTCGTCATAATTTTGCTTTACACCGTTTGTCACCAATACCTCTCTACTGTACACGTGTATATCCACCAGATTCAAGTTGACATTCCGGCGATTAGTACTGTACCGCGCTTGGAACGGACAGCCAAGAGCTTTGTTTTTTTTTTTTTTTTTTTTCATTTTCGTCATCCCCTGATTTGGCCCGCAGTCCTCTCCCTGCTGATTAAAATCTCCCAAGATGCCTCGACACTTGGCAAACCGAGCAATCACCCGAAAGCTTCTCCATGTACGATGCCCGTGCACACGCAAACCGAAAAAACAAGCCAGGATCACCGCTCCGCTGCACAACGTTACGTAAGCCACGCGCGAGCGCCAGAAAAGCTACACAGCGCATGAACCTCGTGTAGGTACTATGCCTATATAATACGTAAAGTGCCGTGTCACGCTCGCACGGACGCACGCGTGTGTATACACGAAAAGCGCCTAAGCGCCTACCTCCCGTTCTCTCGCGTCCCGTGAAAAGTCAATGGCAGAGCAAGTAGCGCCGTAGAAGAGAGGGAGCCAGCTATTACACGTATAGGTGTACACGTGTGGGACGGCGCGCCGGAGCGTGAAATCCGTGATTATCTAGACGTCGCCGGGGAGAGTACAGTTACAGAGAGACCGTCGGGGATTCCGAGGCTTGGCCATTGATCTTGATGCGTTACGTAACTGCACGCCAACAGAGACACACGCGGAAGGAAAGAGAAAAGGGGGGGGGGACTTGCTACGCGGCTCTTCTTTCGCGCTGTATTGTACGGGCCGTGGATAATTATCGCGGCTTTGCGCGTTTCACCGGCTGATTTTGCGGTGCGTTTGTGTATAATTGCGGGGCGATTTATCATCGGCAATTAGCGCAGATTTTGGTAAATAACGTCGTTTCGTTGTAAAGGGTATGTCGGACGTATCTTTGATGGCTTTATCATTAGTGCTTCGCGCAGTGCCAAGGAGCTACGAAAATACTGCAGTCGGAGGGAAAAAGATTGAAGAACAATGGGAGAAAAACTGTCAGGTTGAAGGTTTTCGGACAAAAGGAAAGGGGGATGGAAAAAAAAAGAGTAACGAACGAGCTCTGATCGCCGGGCGATTGTAATGAAATGAATAAAGGAAAGACGGAGAAAAAAGCTTTCGGCCTGAAAAGCTCTACCTGTTTTGGCTTTCTTTGCTGCTCATCGAATTTCTACGGCACACTCAGCGAGACGCAAAATAAGCTTCGGTATAACCCGTCCAACGTACATGTAACTTGGTACGCGTCTGACCATGCACGGCTGTATCTACTGTTCGCAGTCATTAAACTCGCAAAGTATAAATTGGGATTGTCAACAGCTTATGGACGATTGAGTTTCAATAAACTAATGTGCACGAAGTGTAAAAACAAAGTGTGCACGTCCTTGCATTGCAAGCTGACACGTGTATACGCACCGTCTGCGTTTGTCTGACCATACACGGCCGCATCTACTACGCGTCCTCGTTTACGAGTGTAAACGAGGGTTCACAGCTTGTAACATGTCAATTTACCGATATCTGTGCATGAAATGGGAAACAGAGTGGCTGACACTCGAGGTAGAAAAATATTTTCCATTTCATAAGTCAAGACCATCCCGGAATTCTATATACGTATACGTCGTGTTTCTGACTGTGATAGCTCGGGAAGCTAGTATTGCGTAATGTTGGAAAATCGCTCGTATATTGATTTTGACATTTGCGTGTAAGTACACGTGTAAACGTATACAGCTATTTGTTAGTGTGTTTTTTTTTTTCTTTTTTCCTCGACCGCCTGTACTTATCTGTTTCCCGTTTTTTTACCTCAGTACTGTGCGACAAAAGTATAAAAAAACGCGCACTTTCGAGGGAAATTTTCTGAAAGCGTCGTCAAGGGCAGAATAAATTTCGATTCGTAAAAAAAAAAGTCGTCCCATAACAGTGCCTGAAACGATTTCCCCGTCCCGCATCGGTGGTAAACACAAGCCCCTATCGGTTTCTCTCAACCCTTTTTTTCCTACCACACGAAACAGGAAATGAAAAAAAAGAACGATAAAAGAGAGGCAAAGGTGATTGACGGAGTTTTCTCTCTGTACACCCACACACGTGCGCAAATGCAAAGACGATTGTAAATACACGCGTCGACGCTTGAATGGCTGTAGGAGTGGGGGGGGGGTTTAGGGGGTGCTCGGCAAGAGACAAAGAGAGAGCGGCGTTGACTGATGACGAGCTTTTGTAGCTCGAGCGCGCGCATCCTATACACACACGCACGGCGCGAGAGAAAAAGAAGGAGAAAAAGAGAGAGAGACGCGACCAGAACTCATCTCGCTAATTCCCGACGCGAGTCGTGAGGCGCAATGTCATTGCCTTCGAGTCGCGCGCTCGCGTCTGTTTAGTTGTCCCGCGTGTAGGTGTGTCTGTGTACTATATTATGTATCCGTGCTAACAGTCGCGTGTTTACATAATGCCTACTACTCCCTCGCTTCCTCTTCTCCTTTTCTTTGTTATTATTATTGTTTTTTTTTTCTTTTCCACCTCGTGTCTTTGCCTCATTTCTCTTCTCTTTTTTTTCTCACTCGCGTGCGTGCGTGGGGGCTCTGTTATACGAGCTACCGATGATCCCGAGCTTTTTTCGTGAAAGAAGCTTTCGTGAAAATACATAAACATTTTACCTCCTCCGTCGATCAGGTTGAAAAAAAAAAAAATAATGAGGCACCGGCACGAGGCATCCCTGCCGACCGCAGCGGCGAGTACACTGTCATCGTCGTCCGACACGCAGTGCAGCTAGGTGAGAGATGTTTCCGCCCGTTTCCCGCAGCGAACGTCGCGAAAAGGTGTTTCGCTATGGCGTACGACGATGATGAGGGCAAAAAGCCGAGAACGCGTGCCCACTTTTGACATCGCGTGAATCGGTTCGAGGAGCCGTTACGTTGTACACGGACACCGTTGCTCTTTGGTAAACCAAAAAAAAAAAAAAAAAAAAAAAAAAAAAAAAAAAAAAAAAAAAACCGATAAACACGTAGAATTTCGACCTAAGCAAGCCGAAAGATCACTCGCATCGGCCAAATTCTTCGAGGGCGATGTATCACGGTCTCGTTGGATTCTCCTCGCTTCGGTAAATCAATATAAAATATCTAACGCCAAAGCCCAGTGGCTATTGTTCGCTCGGAATAATTTTAGCCACCCCCCGATAAATCGTCTCGTGAGGTAATCACCAAAATCAACTGACCCATCTCATCCAAGCTGAATTAATGGATACCCCAACTTTTTATTTTTCGTATGCGTACTTTTTTTTCATTTTTTTCTTTTTTTGTTAAACGAAACGTCAACACCGTCGTAATCATCGCTTTTATACCGTACACGAACTGCTCGAGGTCAATGCCATCGGCGTGTGTTTGTCAATAAAAATCGCATAAAACGATTAAAAAAAAGCGGTGTTAAACAGCGCGACGTTTCTGTGTATGTATTATTGAAAGAATGGAAGAAGAAAAAAAGAAAAAGAAAATCGACTCCAGCAACATTTTGAAAGGACAGCTCTCAAGCGAGGCGTTACAGCGGAGTCTTTTGCGGGTCAGTCAACTCGATAGCGGCACGTCAGGGTTATTCAACTACCGTGTGTGTATGTGGGTACGTTTTTTTCGCTCGCACCGAGACAGACCATTGGAAATCCGACGCGTGTGCTGTTATACATCATATCGGTGGTAGTGTGTACGTATGTAGAGCTGCCGTCGGAAGTTGGGATGAACCAAGCGTGACGAGTGTAACGTATAGCCTCAGTACATATATGACGTACGGGTAAAACACAAAGAGATGCGCGCCTTTGTTGGACGAGAAAAGGGTAAGAGAGACTTTGTAATTGGTTGAAAGATAAAAAAAAAAAAAAAAAAAAATTGAGGGATTGTAGGTAACCGCAGTAGTGATGGTTAGTTGTTTTCGCTTACCCTTGTGAGCTCGTGTCGGACTTTGTGTGGATTTTTGTCGAGCACCGCGCTCGTACACAGGGCCAAGAGCGCCTCCTCGTTCCTCATGAGAGCGGATAGGGCCAGACCTCTGTGATAGTGCCCCTACAGCCGGAACAAAAAATAAAACATTTACTCAACCCTGTCAGATAAGTATTGTCTCGTTCCCACGAGTGAGCATTAAATATTTGGTGTACTGGGAGCTAGCTAGTGAATATGTGTGTATTATGTATAGGTGTGGTGGTGCATGTGTAGCTTCGAGCCTCACCTTGCCCCAGTCCGGGCGCAGTCGAACTGCGTGATCAGCATCGGCCAGGGAGGCCTGCGGTCGATTGAGCAGCAGCAACGCGTGTGCCCTGTTGCTGAGATGGAGCGGACTGTTGGGTGCTGCAAAAACACAATACATGGTACAATCATTTATTTGGGTTCATCATGGCTTTGGTTGTTCATTATTGTGCTACACCGGTGATTTTAATGGCTACGCGATCGACAAAAAAAAAAAAAATGTATCCTTAAAAAAATTTAACAAGTAAATCTGAGATATCAGAGTGTTTTGTTTTTCCTTAAAACCCACCGGAATCTGTGTTATAACGCCCAAAACCATCGGTCTGGAATCTCTTTTGAAAATTTCACCCAACGTAAACACAGTTTTGAGAAGAAAAAA